TAGGGCAAAATGTGTTTGCAGGTCCCTAACCATAAAGGAACAAAAAAAGAGACCGATAAATTTTGTTATTGCAAAGCCCTTCATGATTCAGACCCACAGAAAAGCTTTACATCTTCTTGCAGGCTCTTCCAGGCACCTTGTTTGGTTGCTCTTGAGCTGGTTGGAAATGGCCCATAGCTAGTGGCCAATGTGTTCAGCTGGTGGCACCGTGTGCTGCTTACAGCTATGGCTGCCTCCAAGGATGCTGCTGAGAGACAGTTGTAAGCAATATCCTATGCGTCCTCTTGGACGCTGGCTGTAAGGATCTGTAACAGCAAGGTCAGTGTCTGTGGCCTGACTGACTGATCTGCCATTAGCTCTTACGTACCTCCTTAGAACTGTACCTCAGTATAACGCTTTTAAGGTATCCAGCCTGGGAGTACCGTAACTCCATGCTTTCTGTGCTTGTGCTGCCTGCTGTCTCAGCTGGGATTTTGTATCTTTCATTAAGTGTTGTCTGTCGTGAATCCTCTCAAGCTCTCACCCTGCTGCAGCCTCCCCCATCATTGCTGGGTGGCCACAAATGCTGCCTGGGCCAAGTCCTGGAGGGAGGTCATCAAAGGAGAAGGTGTTGTGAAATTGAAGACAGGTTGAGCCCCCACCCCACCCCAGTGTCTGAGCATGCACTTGGCAGGAAATCTTGTGGGTGAAAGCAAGCAATGTGCTTAAAATCCCTGCCCTGGGATTCAGATGAGTTTTTCTGACCAGGAAAAGCAGCTGTGATCAGGATCTAGTGCTGGAAACCAGAAACACCAGGGGAGGAAGCCAGCTCTCCCCTGTTGCAATCCGGGATGCATAGCTGTGTTTCTTGCTGACCTGAGAATACGGGGATTAGCGTGGCAGGGAGGGCGTGAGACCGAGGATCGGGTTTGCAGTGGGAAGCGCTATGCTGGCAAGGTGCAGGCTGGGCGAGGAGGAGTTTGGTGCTTGCTGCTCGCAGGCCATGCCATCCCAGGGCAGCTGGGGCTAGGGGCGCAGGCTGGTCCACCCTGCTCCGTGACACAGCTCTTCCTACCCGCTGGCTCGGCGTCAGTCCGTGCTCTCGTAAGGCTGAGCAACTACAGAGTGCAGCACCTCTACTTCTCACTCACGCTGGCTCCAAAGGGGTGGAAATTTTTGCCTCCATCAGGGGTAACCTGCTGCCAGTCATGTACGTCTTGGCTCTTGGAGATGCAGTATCTTTTGGCTGCCCCTGGATTTCACCCCCCTCCGGGCTGGGGAAGGTGCCACATGCTCGCTTGTGTTAGTGGGTCTCCAGTCTTCCCTAAGGCAATCCCTGGACCTTCCATAAAAACATAGAATCATAGAACCATAGAATCGTTTAGGTTGGAAAAGACCTTTAAGATCATCACGTCCAACCGTTAACCTAACCCTGCCATCCCACCACTAAACCATGTCCCTAAGCACCTCATCTACCCTTCTTTTAAATACCTCCAGGGATAGGGACTCGACCACCTCCCTGGGCAGCCCATTCCAGAGCCTGACAACCCTTTCGGTGAAGAAGTTTTTCCTAATGTCTAACCTAAACCTGCCCTGGTGCAACTTCAGACCATTTTCCCTCCTCCTATTGCCCATTACCAGGGAGAAGAGGCTGACCCCCACCTCGCTACAGCCTCCTGTCAGGCAGTTGTAGAGGGCAATCAGGTCTCCCCTCAGCCTCCTCTTCTCCAGACTAAACAACCCCAGTTCCCTCAGCTACTCCTTGTAAGACTTGTGCTCCAGACCCCTCACCAGCTTTGTGGCTCTCTGCTGGACAACATCCAAGGCAATGCGACAACTGATCTCTGTCAGTTCAACTTACTTACCTTCTGATGTTTCTATGTATTTTTTTCACAAAAAACCACTCCGGGAAGGGACATGTCCTAACAGCTGCCTGAAACAAACCCATGTTTGAGCACAGCTGAATGGAGGGTTGGACTAGATGATCTCCTGAGGTCCCTTCCAACCCTTGCCATTCTGTGATTCTGTGTTTCTACTCCAGCGCGGGATGCTGCTTTGCTGGCCTATTGCTCAGATGGCTTTGTGACTGTCTCAAGGTTTCACAGGTAAATCCCAGCCTTGCCCGACAGTGACGGTGGATCCCAGCAAGAGCTGTGATGGCCACTGCACCAAAAGAGGCAGAAAATGCTATTGGATTGGAGGAAATCCACACGGAGAGACAAGAACCCCCAAAAGGTGGGTTTGTATTGGCAGGACTAGAAATAGAGGAAGGGTCCCCAGTCCTGGAACTCTAGGTACCGAAAAACCTCTGTGCATGGGGCCACAAGCATCAGCTTCATACTGCTCCTTACCCATCACAGCTACCAGACTGGTGGCTGCTGCCTATGGTGGTGGGGAGAGCTGGCTGGCTTGGTTTTTCTCAGGCCTCTGCTTTGTGTAAATATTTTATTATAAGGGTAATTCAAGGATTCTTTCATTCTGGATAATTAATTTTTTTAGAAGAAAAATATGTTCTATTTCAAAAGCATCTTAAAGTGAAAAAAAACTGTAGAAAAGCATAAAAGTACTGTATTGGCAAAAAAAAAAAAGATCTCCTGAAATCCAGCAGTAAGTTATGTTCCATTTCAGAGGTAATGTTGATGGGTTTGAGGTGACTTAGTTGGGAGATAAATGGATTAACACAAAAATTTATGCAGCTATGACTTTACCTAAATAAGAGCTTTAAAGTGCACATATACTGAAAGCTTTCTGCCGGGTCTGTTTATCGAGTCATCCCAGCCCTGGTCTCAAGAGATGCTCTGTTTGCTCTTGAAATGGTGGGGGAAACGTCAGGAATAAAGGTTTAGGAGACAAAACTGAGCCCAGAGCTCCTGGCTGTGCTCGTCTTGCAGGGCTCAGGGCTGGGACAATCCCCAGCTCACACTGCCCATGCCAGGAGCGCGTCCATACCCCAGGGGCACAGAGGGGCTGAGCCCTGCAGCCATTTGGGCAGACGAAGGGAGCAGACCATTGCCCAGACGCAGCCCTAGCCATGGGTTTCTGAAGCACCTGGGGTAACACAGGACAAGGCTCCAAAAGGCCCCAGGGAGTGAGGCTGTCCTTCCCCCATGCCCAGCTTGTCCCCTCGCCTGCTGGCTGCTGTTTCAGCAAACCCTGACATGCCCGGCCACCAGCGTGCCCAGGGGCTGGCCAATGGACACACAACTGGTTGGTGTTTCCAGCCTTCTTCCTGCTGCGGTCCCTCAGTAGCATAAAAAACATTTGCATTTCCTAAAGAGGAGGTACAATTTGCTGACATGTTTTTTTGTCTCTGTCTTTCTTTCTCTTTGGTCTTCAGGGCAGAAGACATTTACGGTGGAAGAAGCTGTGGAAACCATTGGGTTTGGGAGGTTCCACATTGCACTTTTCCTGATCATGGGCAGCACAGGGGTAGGTGTCTGCAGCTATATCTACACTGGCCCGAAAAACCCACTCATTTTTCCTTATTACTGTGCAGTAACAATTATAAGTATGATGGGCACATATTGCAGCCCATTTTTTTCCACACATGCCTTCTCAAGCAGGATTTCTGTTGTTGTCATCTTTGGCCAACACTGATGTTGGCCATAACTGATATCAGACCTATTTCAGGGCAAAGCTGAGCGGGTTGGCCCAGAGCATCCTGGCCTGGCCCCTGCCCTGGAGCACTGTCCCACTGGCCAGCGCTGATGGGGCACGTCTTCAATAGTGCCTGAGGTTAGGTTCAGCCTCCTGATGGTATTTTTCATGCCATGTCCAGGGTATCCAAGCCCTGTGCAATCTGGCATGGGCAGGCTGTGCTCCTCTCACCCTTGGCTACCTGAAAAATTTCCTAAATGCCAGGGTCTTGGGTTAATGGTGTATCTGGTCTGGGAATTGTTGCACAAGCCTGAGGCCAGGCTGGTGTAAAGGTGCAATGGGGACATATCCGTGAGGATCACTGCAGCTGAGGTGTAAAAACCTCCAGCTCTGTGTAAACAATAGGTTCATTTCTTAACTGAAGCCAGCTGCTGGGGAAAAGAGCCAATGGAGCAATGAAGTTTTTAATCAAAAACAGTTTTAAGAGGTCATCTTTGTGTTAGATGCCTGAATTCACAGCCAGGTACCTAACCAAGCAGCTTGGTTTCCAGAGATAGTTGAAGACCTTCTGCTAGCACAGCTGGGTAAGAATCTCCCCCTCTGCAAAGGCTGAGTCCTTCCAGCCTTCCTAGGTACAGACTGTACCTAGACACCTGTTTTCTATGTGCACCTTTCTCTCCTCCTCTCCCTGTTTCCAAGTGCTCACGTCTTCCAATCAGGCACAGGGCTCAGACCACTGTTGAGGCACCATGGCTTCACAGGGCTGTTTTGACATGGTGGGACTGCCATAGCTGCAGGTTTGGTGGGACTGAGGGACTTTCCGCTGTGGGCTCCTCGTGGCTTCCTTTTGTGCTAACATGCGCACTCATTCCTGAAGGTGGCCGAAGCCATGGAGATCATGCTAATAGCTGTTGTGTCCCCTCTCATCCGATGTGAGTGGCAGCTTCAAGACTGGCAGGTGGCTTTAGTGACAACGGTGAGTGACTTGTGTTCCCCCCCATGCAGGTTGTCCACTAGGTGGGCATTGTCCAGGGCATCACGACAGGCTTTGTAAAGTACATTTCCCAGTGAACCAAATAAATTCCTAGGGCCTCCTCTCATGGACAGCACCACAACTGTAGAAAAACAGAAAGCAAGCTGATGTAGGCACACGTCTGCGCTCAGAGCTGTAATGCCAAAATGAGCCCCCATTTCGATATTCTTATTTTGAAGCCCTTGCCATCCAACCCTCAGCTTTGAGGGCTGAAGCAGTGAGTGCCCACATGGAGGAAGTCAAGCCCCGAAAGCCACCTCGCTCGTGGCTCTGGGCACCGCAGTTCACCCCGCTGCTTGGGAAGCATTCAACTCACCCACAGCTCAAAGAGCAGAGCTGCCCGGTGCTGACGGCAGTGGGCCCTCCACAGCTGTGTTTCAATTCCCCTTAGATGGTGTTTTTTGGCTACATGGTCTTCAGCATAGTGCTCGGGCTCCTGGCCGACAGGTATGGCCGCTGGAAGGTGAGTGAGCACCAGGGGCTGCACCTCCTTTTCCCAAGCCCCGCGGGAGCCATGCACCTGGCTGAGCCCGTGGTCTGATGACCCTAATTTTGCCCCTTTTTCAGATTCTGCTGCTCTCGTTCCTCTGGGCAGCCTATTTCTCCCTGCTGGCTTCATTTGCCCCATCCTACATCTGGTTCGTGTTCCTGCGGGCCATGGTAGGAGGTGGTGTGTCAGGCCACGCACAAGGGTAAGGTCGTGCCTCGCGCGTCGTTGCACGGGCAGCAGCAAGCTAGCCTTCATGGAGAGGTTAGAAGAGGCACCCCCGGACCAGGAGGGGCTGAGTTCCTGGGTTTACAGCAAGAAAGGCCCTTCGGCTCATTTTGGCTGACCCTGGCAGAGTGCCCGGTTTCCCTTGCGCTGAGCCTGATAAGCTGTGGCTGCGCTGCGACCTGGAGGAGACGGCGGGGAAGGGGCCTCCACGGGGCTGGAGCAAATTCCCACATCTCCTTAAAACAAAGTGCTGTTCTGTAATTTCACTGAATCCCAGTCGATCGACCTAAATTGCGGTTCCCAAGGACTCCCAAGCCCAGGAATAGAGAGGGCAGCTGGTTTACATTAAGCCAGTGACAGAGGGATTATTAAGCACGTATATTATAAAAACAATTAGACAGGTAACAGATGAGCAAAGGCTGCTTCCTCATAAAAAAGTCAGAACAATTCTGCTTAAGTAGCAAATTCTTCTTGAACTGATGTAAAATGTTCCCACTTAAATGAAACTTTTTGCCCTGTTGGGGGGGAAGGGGAGATGTGGAGGGGGAGAGGAGAAATTCACAATATTAACAACCACTTCACTAGGAGCCCAGCAAAATAAATTATTTCTTTCGACTCTCTCAGGGAAACAAATGCAACATTTCAACATCTTCCATGGTTCCTCGAACCTCCATGCTGAAAAGCCCAAAGCCAGTCAATACTGACCCGAGACCCCTTTGCTGAAGCAAAGGATGGGAGGGAGATAGGTGGTGTTGGGAGGAGAAGGCACCACGCACCCACATTGTGCATCTGCTGAGCTCCAGGGGATGCCTCCTTTGCAGGAGAGCCCCTGTTCCTTGGCCACAGAGGTAGCTAATGAGCCTGACGAGGATGGAAGGAAATTGCACATTTTATAAAACACTTCAGTAGCTGAGGTAGAAGGAGCCAGCATTGGTCTCTCCCTCCTTCTCTCCCTCTTTTCAGTCAAGGAAGCACAATTCACACCTGTGAAACTGTGAGATGCCAGTGCCAGGCCCTCCCACCATAGCTATCCAACCATTTGATAAAGAGTGGAATGGACTGTTTTCTTTATTTAATGAAAAAAAAATGATTCATTAAAATTTGTCTGCTCCTACAAATGTACTCTGCGCCTCTGCTGACACCTCAGTTGCCCCACAGGACCTTCCCGTAGGTTTCCTGGTGCACAGGAACACCTGCCTGGCCTGGAGAGGATTCATGGCATGCGTCTCCCTTGCATCGAATTTGGTGCCTGCCCAGGTGGGAGGCACACAGAGCATGGGTCCCCTCCCTGGGTGCTCAGGGGCAGATGAGGGGTCGTCCCTGCCTACAGGCAGCAGCGTCTGGGCTAACTGAGCTCAGCTGAACTGCTGCTGGCTTGGTATAGAAATTCTCATCATTGCTGTATTTCTGCCATTTATTTTTTTCTCCCTTTCGCTAGGCTTATCATAAAAACAGAATTTTTGCCCACCAAATACCGAGGGTACATGTTGCCCTTATCTCAGGTAAGACTGAGCATGTTACTGTTTCTTCTAGCCTCGAGTCCCGGGAGATTTGTCCTGCTGCTGTTTGGAAGCTGGGTCTCTGCCACGTCAGCCTTTCTCCCAGACTATTTGCACTTATCTTGGTCCGAGCGAGTGCTTGCTGCCTCCTGTGCCCTGGAGCGTGGCTCCTGCATTATTAAAGATCTGTGCAGGCAGCTGCCTGCAGAGAAGAGGCAATTTCTTCTAAATTAATTGGATGCTCCAAACATTGCATGGGGACTTTGAGCGATGGCTGACACCCAGAGTCTCAGTTGCCCTATCGATAACAGCGCCGCCTGTTCTAATGGGGCCAGTGCCAGTGAGCTTTCCGGCAAGCCCTGGGGCTAGCGGCACCACCAGCCCCCTCTGGGCCTGGGCTCATCCTCTCCTCTCTTTGGACTTGTTTAATAACCAATGATTAATGAGGCGATCCTCAGATGAGGTCCTAATCTGCGCCTCTCCCCGTCCCTGCTCAGGGATAGCACAGGCCTTTGCACAGGATAGGGCTAACATAGATGGTCCCAAATTTGGCCTGAGACGTGCTGGGAGGGTTGGGACTGCTTGCTGGGCAAAGACCACAGCAAGCGTGACTGGGGTTGTTGCTTACTCCAGATTTCTGCAGTGGGCACTTGCACAAATGATCTGCGGAGGCCTCATCCAGCACACTAATTCATCTGACTGTTGAACCAAAAGTGTTTGTATACGGTCTCAGTGGCAGGGATAATTTGCTTTTCATTACTGCCTGTTTGATCCCAGGACTTCATTACCAAAGTGTCATTAGAAACACAAAGGTTTCAAAAAAAGAACAATCTTGTCTTTCTCCCCATAAATTTGTTATTTCTGCCCACAGATTACTCATGAACTTGCTGTGGCTTTTACTATTTGTTTGTGCTTTGTGTTGGCTGAGCTCCCTTGGGTGGTCCCCTGGAAAGGGACACATTTCCTAATGGCAACAAGTGAACTTTGGGGAGGAATGTACTTGCAGATCAGGGGGGCAGATTCTCCGTTGGTATAACTTGGCATTGAGTCTACTGGAGAACCACCAACTTCCAGCAGTGGAAATCTGGCCCGTTTTTGCCTTCGGTGCTTGTAAATCTGCTGCTTCCCCACAGAGATTTAGACAAGAGGAAAATTCATGGGCGTGAGCATTAGCAGAAAAGTGACTGGAAGGACAAAAGAAGTAGCTTTAAGTACAATGGTAGCCACAGCAAGTTATCTGTTTGCATGTGGAGCTAATTAAGATTATCTTCAGCTATCCCTCCCCAAATCCTTGTCTGTCTTTCCCTCTTTCCTTCAACCCAAGCTCAGCTTCTCAGGCAGCCGTGGGATGGCTCAGTTTGAACCGCAGCGCTCCCCAGCACAGATCCCCACCTATCCATGGAACCAGAGAAGAAGGGAAGAAAACAAACAAATTGTTGCCATGTATTCGTGTTTTAACCTCTTCCTTTCCCTTGGAAAGGTGTTTTGGTTGGCAGGATCCTTGTTAATCATTGGCCTGGCATCAGTGGTGAACCCAACCATTGGCTGGCGGTGGCTGATCAGAATTGCCTCCATCCCTGGCATGCTTCTCATCCTGGTATTCAAGGTAGGAAAAGCTCCTGTCCTCACTCCCCGCCACATTGCTACTGACCTGGCATCTCCTCAGGCACCAAGAGGCAGTGCCTTGCACCCCCCCGTGAGCCTGTGGCTGTCCTTGTGTCCTCCTTTCACCACCACAGCCCTCTCACCCTGGGGAGCTTGGGAAGGTCCTGGTGGCCTGGGGGGAGGGCTGCAGACCAGCTGCTGGGGAGATGTCAACCTGCGGGAGATGGCTTGGCTTTATTTTGCTTTGCAAAGCCTCTGGCTTTGCTGCCCTGCTGTAGCCCTCCAGCATCACCGGCTCCAATGTTCAGGCTGCCAGCGGCACCCAGGGACCATGGTGATGGGCCAGGCATCGAGAGGAAGACAGGCTAGGCAGGATATGCAAAAAATCACAAGTAATACCTTCAGTCTAGTGCTGGCCACAGCACACCCTCTTCAGTCTTTACATTTGCTAGGGCTGAGGAAAGAAGCCTCAGTAAAGTGTTCACAGAGCAAATGGGCGTCAGGGTCAATCACGGCTTCCCCAGGATCCCTCATGGTTCAGAAACATCAGCCTCGGGCATGAGGACAGTCTCATTTGGGGGGATTGATGTGGAAAATCCCTACTTACGGAGCTCATGGGCACTGCAGTGCTAAGCTGTGGCTGGTGCAAGCTCTGCAGGTGTCAAAGCCCTTCCTGCAGCTGAATGAACGAACGAACGCACAAGGCAATCTGGGGTGCTACCTGGGCAAGGTCGCTGTGAATGTCCACTCGTATAACACTGAGGTTTGGTTTCTCCAGAAAAAAACAGGTAGCAAAAGTTTTTAGTCCAGAAGTAAAAAAAGACACAGTCAGCATACCTACCTTTAAAAAAGGAGTCTTAATTCAGATTTCAGTGGTACAGCTGTAGTTGTTTATAATTTAACAGAGCCATCGTTTAATAAAAAGGTAGTTTATTTTGGAAAGAGCACCAGGTGTGGGTGATCGTTGCAAATGCTAGTGATGAGTGAGTTTGTTCCTAAATTTCATCTTCCTTTTTTTTTAATGGCCTTCTTGAGTCCTCCAAGACTTTTTCTTAAGTAAGTGACACGTGCCTCATCCCGTTCTAGGATTTCAATTAATTAAGGATTGCTTTTCTTAAACCTGTGTCTTTGGCTTCCACCTCTCACGAGTGCTTGCCACAGACAACTCAGTAGCAGACCCCTGGGAGCTGGACCAAGAAATGGGTTTGCTGGGAAGGGTGAGCCCCCCAACATGGGCTAAGGGGAGCTGGGACATGCAGGGGTGCCCCAGGGCACGGCTGGAGGGAGGAGGAGAGGCAGGAGGCTGCTCCAGCTCAGGTGGTGCCCCGTGCTAACCTGGCCGAGCTCCTGGGCATGACGGGAAGCTGTGGGTAGGGTTGCGTGGACCGGGAGGTGCAGAAAGGCTTTCTGACGCCGCTCCGCTTTCAGTTCATCCCGGAGTCGGCGCGGTACAACGTGTCCACGGGAAATGTGGCAGCTGCCATGGCCACGCTGCAGAGGATAGCCAAGATGAACGGGGCGGCGATGCCCGAGGGGGTGCTGAGGGAGCCCGCCAAGGTAAGCCGATGCCAGGGCCGCCAGCATCCGGGGTGCAGGGAGGGAGCGGGAGGCCACGCACATCTTGCTTTGCCTCTCTCCCCCTCCTCGCCTGGTTTCTTTCCAAACAGCTATTGAATGTGATGATGAAGACGACATTTTTCTTTTGGAGAGACGGTAAGCTTGGCCCTTAAAATGGAATTGAGTTTTTTGCTTTTTTTTTTGCATTCTTTGTGTTCGCTCAGAAAAATATTGTGCTGAGAAAAGATTTGCTTCCTTTACCACAAAAAGGGCCCCTTGCAAAGTGTGTTCTTATTGCCCATCCATCCCCAGGGGTGCCCCCTGTGCCGTGAGACCTAGGACCTGCCCTTCGGGCTCCCTCTCAGGGCTGCGGCTGGTCAGGCTGCAAGGGTCCCTGCCATGAGGTCAACCCACCAGTCCCAGAGCTTTCTCCCAGCCCCTGTCTGGGCTTGTCCACTGGGTCCCAGCACCCCAGGTCCCTGAGTGTGGAGCCACAGACCAGCAGAAGAGGGTCAAAGCACAAGAGGCCACTTTGGAGCTATCGCTGTTTGCACCTGTAAGCAACCGAGCAGCTCTGGAGTTGATCAGTGCTAGACCAAGATGCCCAAAAGCACGTGTGGGTGTTGCAGGGGGGGCAGGAGAGGAGCTGGGGGCAAGGGCCTCCTCCAGGGTGCTCACCCTTATCCCCAGTCCAGACCCTGCTGGCTGCAGGGTGGGAGGGCTTATTCAGGTGGCTCTGTTCACCCTCAAAAAAGGAAGATTGGACAAAACTATTTTCCAGGGCCTCCAAATTATTATCCAGTTCTTTTAAGTCCCTTTCCTGGACCTCTTCGCTGCTTATTCAATCCCACAGGCACCAAGCATTGTCCTTAGCAATTCATGCAAGATGGTGCTATTGTATTGGAATTAATTAGGATTAAAGCTTCCCTGTAGTTTAATTGAATTTATGTAATGGACACACATTGGCTGTGGGAAGGGTTTTTGTTAGTTGTGCACCCTCTCAGGCTTAACCAATGATGAGGAAAATAATTATAAAGACAACCCAAACCGTCCATGCAAACTTGTCTCCCCTCCGTGGTGGGATGCTGGGGCAGCTGCCAGCTTTTGGGGAACAGCGGGACAGGCAGGCATTTCAAGCCTCCCTGCAAGATGCACATGGACACAAACTTGCTCCACACGTGGAGCCGTGGAGGCTGGGCCCCTCTCCCCAGCACGTGGGGCTGTGGGAGCTGCCAGCAGCCCTGGCAGCGCTGGCTGCCCAGCAGCAACCAGGTCCCCCTCTGGTGCCATGACGGTTGTGCTGGGGCCAGACTGCCAGGAGTTGGCGGGGGGTCCTGTGGGGGTCAGGAGTGCTCAGAGTGTTCTCTTCTCCTCCCCTCCATCCTTCCTAGTGCATCCTCCTCTGGGCAGCATCCTTTGGGATGAGGGGCTTTCCTCTCTGTGGTTGCACCATTAGCAGCCTGGGGCGAGGGCAGGGGGGCCTGGGGTGCCAGCTGCTGCCTCAGGACTTGCCCCTGTATAAAAGATGCCTCTTTAAAAACTTCTATTTCTATCAAATGATTTACAGGAAAGGAGAGGAAGATTCAAGGACCTCATCCACCCCAAATACCTCAGAACCACTTTGCAGATATGGATCATATGGTAAAAAGAACGATTCTCCCCCCCTCCCCTTGCTTATCAGCTCATTCTCTCAGCTGAATGTGTGCAGGGAGCAGAAGCCTCCTGCTGACTCTGCTGGCACGGGTCACGGTAGGCATGTCCTGATCTCAGACCATGCCTCAGACACCCGGTGTCAGTCGGTGTTAACACAGGCAGAAAAAGGCTGGACATCCAGGATGGTGCAGGGCTCTGCCAGTCCTTCCTCAGGGCAGGGTGGCTCAGGGGACATGGGGTCTGAGGCAGGCGAGAGCTGCAGGAGAGAGCCCAGGACTGCCTGCAGCGTGCACCGGCAACGTGCCTGCGACTCCGCTTCCCTCCTCTGTGTAAACTTGTTCTTCCCAAGAGAAGGAGAAATGCACCACCTTTGCAGGCTAGCCAATGTGTCAGTGAAATAGGGCTCCAACAGAAACTCGTTACCCAGTCCTACTGGCTGGGGAAAATTAAGATTGAAGAGAGATGGGTTTCATATGCAATGTTCCTGATAGCTGTGTGCAAGGGTAATATATGTTTCATTGACTTTGCTGTCTGGAATGGAAATGTATAAATAATGGGTCCGTGGGAACTCATTGACCCAAAAAGTTGCTCAGTCAGGCCTTGAATTTTTTATGGGTTTTTTCCCCTCAACTTGTATGAGTGTTATGAAATATCTTTCTTTTTGTTTTTTAATCCTTCTTTCTCTCCTAGTCCCCCCCAGGAGTTGCTGGCTTGTTCTTGGGTTTGCATTCCCGCCCTCGTACCCTGAGCATCCCCCGCCTCTCCAGGCAGCTCGTTTCCTAGCCCAGATTCTGCTGCTCATTTCTGAAACTGCCAGGGGGGATAAAAAAAAAGTGAAAATTACTTCTCGGCCTGCTTATGATTAGGCGTATGCTGAATTACTTGATAATGACACAGCCAGGCTGCCATCACCAATGCTGTGTTCTTGACAGCCAGCCAGGGTGCAATGTGAGCCTCTCCAGCCAGTTAATGAAAACTCCTTTCAAAAATTCTCTGGGCAGAAAGGATAAGGACTAAAAAAAAAGAAAAAAACCCAGACAGTTTCTTCATGTGAGCTGCAAGCATCAAGGGTTGAGGCTCCCCTAGTCCCCTGGGAAGGGGTGGTTTGGAAATGCCTCCATTTACAGCCCTGTGTGAGGAGAGGGACCGAAGGGCCATGCTCTCCCCAGCACAACTGCAGCAGGTCACCTGCGGAGCAAGAAACAGCACTAAGGGGCAAGCAAAAAGATGTGCTATGAGTTGGGGTGGGTTCCTCCAAGGAAGAGAGGAGCATGGACATAGATGGTAGTGGTGTGGCGTGGGTGAGGTGACCAAGTCACTGTAAGGCTTGGGCTAAGGGGGTCCATCACGCAGAGTTGGTGCATGCAGTGGGGGTCCCAGGGCACCCAAACCCCTTTCCTCACCTTCCCTGTTGTTGCTGCTGCTCATTGCAGCGTTTCCTCCCACAGGCTTGGCATAGCTTTCGCTTATTATGGCGTCATCTTGGCCAGTGCTGAGTTGCTGGAGCGGGACCTCGTCTGTGGCTCTGCAGCACCACCGGTGCAGGACCCCATCGATGGCTTGGGGGAGAGCCACAGCCCCTGCCACTGCCACTTGTTTGGGCCCGCTGCCTACCAGACCATGATCATCAGCACAGTCGGCGAGATCGCATGTAACCTCTTCTCCCCTCCCTGCCCTGCCATTCCCTTTTTACAGCCAGCCCATACTCACTGCAAAGCTTTTAGCTTTGCTGGCATTTAGTGACGTGTCAGAGATCAAAATGTCCTCAGTGTTGCTGGCAAGTGCCAGGCACAGGCTCTTCAAGCGAAGGTCTGGGACATAGGTCAGGAGCTGGTGGGAAGGCAAGGGAGGGCACTGCTCCCCAGGTGAATAATTCAACTTCAGCATGAGTCTTTCCAACAGCAGAGCCAAAGACCATCTTGGTTAGATTCCAAGGGAAATTGCCCCTAACTTACCAGACCCAAGCCTACCTTCCCAAGTTCCCAGATGTGTAGTTTTTGCAAAGTCATAAATAAGCAAGGATTGCAGATGACAGTCACATTGATGTAACTGAATGCACCTCACAAGTGCTCTGCCTTCAAAGAGATGGTGGCCTCAGGAGCAGGTCCTATGCTGAGTGCTACAGCAAAGTACAACGAAGTGACCAGGGACTCTGCAGCAAACACAAATTAATCATCATAGAATCAGAGAATACCAGGTCGGAAGGGACCTCAAGGATCAGCTGGTCCAACCTTTCTATGAAGAGCACAGTCTAACCAAGCTGGTCCAGCACCCTGTCCAGCTGCATTGTGAAAGTGTGGTGGAGTCAACCACTCCCCTGGGGAGATTATTCCAATGGTTGACTGGTCTCACAGTGAAAAATTTTCCTCTCACGTCCAATCGGAATCTCCCCAAGAGCAACTTGTACCCATTCTGCCTCATCTTTTCCATGTGACTCCTTGTGAAACAGGAGTGTCCATCTTCTTTGTAGCCACCCTTTAAATACTGGTACATGGTGATGAGATGTCTTCTAAACTTCCTTTTCTCAAGGCTGAACAAGCCTGGTTCTCTCAGCCTATCCTCATATGGCAGGCTTCCCAGTCCTTTGATCATCTTGGTGGCCCTTCTCTGGACCCCCTCCAGTCTGTCCACATCTTTTTTGTATAGCGGGGACCAGAACTGTACAGTATTCCAGGTGTGGCCTGACAAATGCAATAGGGGAGCATTGCAGGGAACACTGGGGGATGGCAGGATGGCCCAAAGGCACCCTTGAAAGAACTTCGTACTCTGTGCATGGATCTGCTATTGCAACACTCCTGGAAGTTGAACCTTTTCCTTGGTTCATCTCTCAACAACTGAGCTAGAAAGTGATCGGGTGTTGGATCCTGCAGGTGCAGCCGGGCTGGGACCAGTCCAGTGATGCACTCAGGTGCCTACTTGGCTCCCAGCTCATCGGGGGACTCAACGGGGCACACTCTGGGCCCCCTGCATTTGGCTGAGCCGTGGCGAGAGGGAGCAAACCCACCCAGGCCAGCAGCATTCACCCAGCGGGTGCCTTCCTTGCCTGTGCTACTCTCAGCTCAAGACCTGTGCTGGTGTCCTGCCATGGTACAGTAGGGCAATGTCAAAGGACAGGCTCCATCCTCTGAGAGGAAGGACAAACAAAAAAGGGTCATGGGGGTAAACTACAGGGTTTGAATACAGGAAGGGAGTTACAAGGTTTGTGCATTTTGTAGAGCATTTGGTAGGTGCTGGGGATGCAGGGCAGTATTTCTGAGGCACGCTGCATAAAGTCTATCAAGACAGACATGCATTACAGTTAGGTCATCTAACTTTTTATGGTTTCCCTTTTTATCTCCAGTAAATCCTTTGAACATTCTCGGCATCAATTTCCTCGGAAGACGCCTGAGCCTGTGTATCACCATGGGATGTACAGCGCTATTCTTTCTTCTCCTTAATATCTGCACCTCGAGGTAATCTCACTCAGCACACGGGTGTTGTTGATGAGGGGGGAGGGGGGTGTGCAATATGGGTGGTATTCTCAGGTCAGCAATCAGTCAGGCCAGTAATTCTTGTACAACTGAAAAACCCCTCTGACTGTTGCTCTGCACTTCCCAGGAAAGCTGTGGCAGCAGATGCTGTGGTGCAGGGGTGTGCAGAGCAACTCGCTTGCATTGCTGAGCCCACCTGGCTTCCCCTAAGCATACAACCAGCCACCTTCTAGTGCATTCTGGAGAATTAAAAATGATGTGAAGAACATCCACCAGAAAGAAGTCATATTTTTTCTTTCAGTCTCACTTTTTCCCCCTTTCTTTCATTTTTGGCAGTGCTGCATAAGCCTCCTCTAACTTGTAGAGTTGGGCACTTCAAGAGGAGCTCAAGGCATCAAGGGAAAGGCTGCCATGAGTGCTGTAATTATCAGGTTGATTTGTGAGGATGTCTAAGAAAGGAAGACCCCTCTCAGGCTGGCAGAGCTTAACGGGTCCTGCAAATCAGGATGGCTTCAAGGTGAAGTCTCCTCTCAATGGGCTGGTAGCCTGATGGCTGCTTGCCAGCAGTGAACACCCCTGCCACCTGCCCCGTGGGCCACTAGCCTTGGAGGCTGGCTGAAGTACCTGGGAGCTGGAGTGGGAGGCTGCAGATAGTCCTTAAGCTAAATAAGCCCCTGTCAGGAAGCTTACAGTCATTCAGTAGGGCATTGGCCTCTGTACCGCCATCATTATTTTCAGTTTTCCCTGAAACTCAGCTTGCAACAGTTTTGTACAGGAACCGAAATCAAGGGCGAGGCTGGAAGTCAGACTTGTCCACAATGTGGAAGGCACCAGCTGGGCCACTATGGACCTGTTCAGATCGTTCCCTCCAGCCTCTAACACTGGCCTAAAGGAAACATAACGTGCAATAACCCGTGGTCAAACATGTTGCCAATGGATTAAAGAAAGATTATACTTGTCAGCAGTCAACTTTTCCTTATGCTTTCCCTTACACTAAGCTGGTAGAAGCCTTAGCATGGTGCACATATTAGGTTGCATCTCTGCTGGTCGGCGTTCAGTGACACTAACTCTTTGCTCCACACGGCTCTCTCTCTAGCGCAGGCATGACTGGGTTTCTCTTCATGCTCCGTGCCTTGGTTTCAGCAAACTTCAACACCATCTACATTTATACAGCAGAGGTGGGTCCTCCTGAAAGTACGTTAAGCTGCTCTGGGGCATGAAAGACCCTTTGCTTATACCCAGGACTGCTGCCCTGTCTATTGACTAGTTAAAGCCACCTTCCTTGAACTAAGTATCTCTGGCTTCCTGGCCACACTGCTTTCATAGGCAAGATCAGAGAAGGAATCAGAAAACTAGCTGGAGATGACCAGGGCAGGTGGAAGAGGAATGCCTTACTGAGCCACCGGTCAGGCAGGTACTACAAAACATTATTTTTGAGAGTGTCATGTACCGCCATCTTCCAAAACCCACAACCTCCCCCCTCCCCAAACCCTGCAAATTTAGAAAGTAGGCTACCACTGAAAAGAACATTTTCCAGCACTTACAGGACTGCTGTAGCAGTATGAGGTAGTATATGAGGTTATAGACATGTTTTTTTTTCACTTAGCAGAAATTGCTGTGTTCTGTCTGCAAATAGTTTTACACCTTCAGAGAGCTTGTCCTTCATACAGCTTTGGAGCCATGAGTTCTGTGTATGAAATATGCATTGTTGGGTTTTTTTGTTGTTCTTTTTTAAACAATTGGGTGGAGTCAAATGTATTGCCTTGCGGATTGAGTGGAGTGACAAAAAGCAGACAGCAGTGGGTCCCTGGGTTGGCCTGATACTTCTTCTTTTAATAGTACACTATATTATTTAAGCATGCACTAGGCTTGAATAAATACCAACTTTTTAATAGTCCTGAACTGGATGTTGTTGATGTGAAGGCCATTGCTGCAATGGTCGGCCATATCATAACCTGATACTACTCACAATTTAATCAATGATCAAAACCAAACTTGAAAATCCCTTTTCCAGCCACATGCCTGGACTCTTCTTGAATTACCTTACCTGCATCGGCTTGGCCCAGTAAAGTATTTAAACAAAGGCTTCCATGAGTATACGTGCTAAAATCTATTGATATTAACAGGACTATAATTAAAGTTAAGCAAAATACATGCTTAAGTGGTTATTTGGCACAGGTGTTTGAGAGATGTGAAAATACACAAAACACATTCTTCTAAGCCTGGAGGTTTCTTATTGTGATCTGTTTTTCTTTTTTCTTCCTTCTAAACAAAAGTGCTGTTTATACAAATATATTGGCAGTCTTGAAGGCTGCAGGCAATATCCTTTCTTCCTGCTTTCCAGATACAGGGCCTGGCAACATAAATTAAATTCTTCCTTTAGCACCCAGCCTATTCGCTGTGACTTTGATGTGAGCTGCCCAGCACAGCTGGGAGAAAGGTGGTGGTGGTGGTGGGGGCGGTGGTAAGCAAACAGCAGGGGAATCACATCCAGCTTTGATTGACTTGCCCTAAAACTTTATTTAGGGCAAAAAAATGGCAGATTTGTAATGGCACAGAAGAGTCCCAAAGGAGCACTTACTTCCTTTCATATCATATCCCACTAGCTGCCCTTGATAATGTAATGGGCGTCGCTGAAGAAAAATTTTAAGAAAAAAAAAAGGGAAAAATAAGGACACATACCAGAGATTGTTGTTGCACTAATCCGATTTCTTTCTGGGCTGTTTTAGGTTTATCCCACCACAATGCGAGCCCTGGGGATGGGAACAAGTGGGTCATTGTGCCGTGTTGGAGCCATGGTGGCCCCGTTTATATCACAAGTAAGAGCACACTTGGTAATGTTGGTAAACATTGCGCCAACTGTTGCTATCAAATATACAGAGAGATGCCCCTGAAGTTCACAAAAAAAAAAAAAAAGATGTATTCAATTCCTCCCCAACTCATTAGTTCTTTATCTGATGCTTACACTGAGTACTTACGTAGTCTTTGCCAGATGCAGATCCACAAAAATCCCTTCCCAGAGCTTAGCTTCCTAGTATTTGTTACTTTCTGAAAGCCTTCAGATTCACAAGACATTGTTTTTTCTGTTGCTGAGTCTCTCATGTCTTTGTGACCCTTCGTCCACTCTTTAATGGCTCATTAACTGCCAGCCACCCCCCATCACTGAGCTGGCGTTTGACCTGTTCATTGACCTGCAGGTTCTTATGAGTGCTTCCTTCATCGGAGCCCTCTGCCTCTTCTCATCCGTGTGCGTCGTGTGCGCAATCTCTGCCTTCACACTGCCCATCGAGACCAAGGGCAGGGCACTGCAGGTTTGTAATTACCACTCCAGGAGCTCCCATGTATCTCAACGCTATTTAGAAACTCACAGATTACGATTCAGCCAGAACCCAAACCACGCTCTCCTGAGCGATCGTAAACCCAAGTCAGGCCTGAGAGGCAAGCACAGGACCGTGCTGTTGCAGCAGCTTAAAGCACCGTCACCCCAGTTGCCTACAGCTCGTTTCTCATACAAGAACCACCCAGGCGGCCTGCCCTAGCCCCAGCTACCTCATGCAAGCCTGTTAGCTTCAGCTAGCGCAAGCCCCTCTTTGCCAGAATCTCTGGTCCTGACCTGAAGTCACTGCTTCTGCCCGTGCTGCAAGGGAGAGAGGAGGGCAGATACAAGTAATACTTGAAACCACTAAAACCACCCCTTCATCAAATTCAAGTCAAAAGCCCCAACGGCATCAGCCCGTTAGCTAAGCCCTCGTGGCTAGTCTTTCCTATAAAGCAATCAGCCAAAACAATAAGCACAAAGATTAAGGGGGAAAATTTAAAGTCAGCCAGCCTCCCATGCACAAGCTGCACTAGTTTAACTACAGGAGGTGGGGAGCAGTTTTGTGATTCTGGTCAATTCAAGCTACACCGGCACGGAAATGTTCACGGCATGCATGCAGCGTGCCCACATCGCACCACCTATTATTCTGCAGTCTTACCTGTACAAACCAGAAGACCATGGGCTAAACAATCCCCATTCTTTAGCAGCCTAGAGCAAGACAGATGTTTGATCAAGCTGTTTTACATGGGATTCAGAATGAGACTTTAAAAAAACCCCATATATACAAACACACACGTTACATATATACACACACACGCTTAACTTCATTGGGTCACATCTCCTGGGGTTTCCCCAAGGTGCATGGGACAGTTGGCCTTAGGGTGTTCAGAAAAGCAACACACTAATCATTGCCTGCTTCTTTAAATGCTTATCTTTTAGAAATGCTTGTTATTTATGGGTTTACGCCATTTAAAATATCTATACGATCTGTAAAAGACTGGGGAAAACAATAATCAAAGTTTAAGTAAGGAAGTGAACGAAGCAACTTACTTATTCTTCCCTTGTGGGTGAAACTCAACCCCATGCACAGAGGCCTTCAAATGGTCGGATTCACAATAATTACTAAGCAAAACACTTCATTAAAACTGCTTTAGACCTAAAAGGAAAGCTTTGATTCAGCTACAGTTGGATTAACTTTGGCTAACAGTGGTCGAGACAAATGGTTGAGTAATGATTCCTTAATGGGATCCCCCCTTTTCATGGGAACTTAATTCAATAGCATTACCATCCTCCTTGCTACAAATAGGAGTTACAAGCTCCAGCTGCTGGCTTTTACATGCACAAGTCAAAAGGACAGGAATACAAAAATCTGCAGAACTAGCTGCATACTCAGAGAAGCCACCATTAGATCGCAAATTCAACTTGCTCACTCTTAGCTCATGGTTATTTCAGAGATTACATTTGTGTACGTAGTCACTCAGGGATTGCTGAATCATGACTGTTGAATGTACTGTCCAAGGGCCTCACACAGTACAGTCATCCAACCCACACAAGAATTGCAGCATGTGATGTAAAAGCTCTTCTAAAATGGCAATATTTAGTCCTAAGGCTCCAGGCAATAGATGTGCTCCTTAAAGCTATGTCTAAATGAACCAACTAAATAAAAGAATGTAACAACTTTTTGTGAAATCTAGACAATGACATTTCAAAAGCATATCCACCCCTGTTCAGGTTATTAGGACAGCATCAGTCCACTCACAAAGCAGTCATAGGGATTGCCTATCAGAGGCAAGACATTTTGATACAGCTAAATGCATATTATTTTCCCCTCATCAATTTCTGTTGCTTTTCCATGTGCATTTTATTAATTTTATGTATTTTTTTTCTTTCCCCTTTTTAGCAAGTAAAATGAAAGCGAGTGTTTGATGTTGGATTGGGTAGGAAAGAAAAATAAACCTTTGGCATCTGTCATTTCCTGTGAGCTGCATTTGATGTTGACTGCTTCTCCATACCATTTCCATTATTAAAAATTGCAGCTGAACGGTGCAAGAGCGATGATTTGTATAGACAAATGACAAATTTCTCAAGGACATTCCCCTTCTTATGATTCAATAAATAGATGCTTTCTACCTGTCCCGTGAAGTGAGATGAAGGTTCTTTACTACTAGTGCTATTAGCAGTGACATTACACAAACACACAAAAAAAGAAGAAAAAAAAAAAAGAGGAAAACAGCCACCATTCAGTGGATTGAGGCAAAGGGGAGAAAATCACAAAGCAGATACAGCCTTTGCCATACCAGTGTGGCAGAATATCGTACGTCCCTTTAAAAACAAAACAGCATTCCTCAACTATTTGTGCGTATACCATCTGCACTGAAGTAAAATTTGACAATTTCTGAAGACTCTTAGGGTGACATTCAAGACCACAAAATGAAAGTTGAGTCAGGTTTTTTCCAGTGGATTATTTAAACAGGGACATTTTCAAACAGTTTACAGCAGACGTGTACAAGTCGGTAACTGGACTGCAGGAGTACCTCTACGCTCCTCTCCCCACTATTTTCCACTGGGAGAACAACTTGAGTGTGAAGGTGTATAGGTGTCCAACTTCACACCTCTAAACGCACTAAGCCTCCCAAGAAATCTGTGCTTGCAACTTATGGCCCAGAGAAACGCACAGCACCTTCCTCTGGGAACACTGTAGTAAACTTGGTGACCGGGTATCCAGGCATTGCTAAATCTTTAAGACTTCAATGGCAGTGCCTCTTATTTCTTAAGTCTGTGCTACTGTAATGTGCCCTGATCACATCTGGTTTGTTAGAATGGGCTCCCTCACTGTCCTGTTCTGCTCCTTCACCTCTCTTCCTTTTTCTCTGGTACTCTGGGATAGTAAAACTCCTGCTACAAGCAACTCTCTTCACAAA